GAGATGCGGCCCCAGAGCCCCTACCGGACGCCTCCTCATGGTTTTGAGGAGGCCGCGGTTGCTGGAGAATGGACGGGGGTGGGGAGTGTGCACTCCTCTGACGGCAGAACCTTTCTTCCTCCAGGTTTTCTTCCTGTGTCCAAGGCCCTGGCGACCTTGGGTGCGCTCGCGAGTGTCCCCACCGTCCCGGTCAGTAAAGGAAAGGCGGGGGCGGGGCTGAGGCAGGGGCGGAGCGTGTCCACGGCAACGCAGGACGCTAGGGCGCCCTGGGGCAAACCGCGAGGCTCCCAGAACACCCCGCGCCCACCTACCCGCCCCCCGCCCCCAACCCGCCCGAGCCCGGGCGCTGGTCCGGTACCTGTCCTCGCCGGACCCGCGCAGGTGACACCAGGCGGGCCAAGGACGGTGGAGTTGGGCGGGTGGCCGCCGTCCAGCCCGGCTCGGACCCGCGCCTGTGCCTCCCACCGCCCCCGCCGCCCTGGGTAGGACCGAGCGTGGCACGCCCTGGAACCACGCATAGAGGGATCTCCGTGCCGCCCAGTGTGACCGGGAGTGGTTCGGTGCTCCCGGGGTCCGGGCGGCAGTGCGCTAGCGCCACTGCGGTGTGTCCACGCGGCGACGCCGACTCGGCTGCTGCTGGGACTCTGCTTTGTGGTTCCGCCCTTGGTGCCTGGGCTGCGCCATCAGCTCCCTTCCATCCATCCATTCATTCACTCATTCATTCATTCATTCACTCAAACCTCTTCTCGCGCTGCTTCCCCTGCCCCCCAGCATCCAGCCCCCACCCCGACCTGCCTGCTGTGCTCCGAGCCCAGCCCAGGCTTCACCTGAATGAATGAATGACAGGAACCTGTGACCCCTCAGACGAGAGCCCCTTGTGGGCGTGGGAGCCAGGGCCCCACGGGGGAGGTGGCCTCTGACCTGTGGCCTGCACATCGCGTAGTGAGTAGGCATTCAGGGTGTCAAATTGGAGGACAAGTCTTTCAGGCAGAAAGGGGCACAGGTAGGGAGGGCAGAGTGGTGACGGCAGACGGGAAGGACCATGAGGGATTTGGATGCTACCCTAAGACCGGGCTGACTCCAGGCAGGGAGGCCCTGTTAGAAGGGTAGCGTGTCGGGCAGCTTTTCCAGGATCCATCCTCAGAAACATGTCTTTCCAGACACAAAAACGGAATTTTTTTTTGAATTCTGATGACTCTTTTTTAAAGTGAAACTTTCCCGGGGAGGGTAAAACTCAGTGGTAGAGTGCATGCCTAGTATGCACAAGGTCCTGGGTTCAATCCTCAGTACCTCTGTTTAAAAAAACAAATAATAAATAAACCTAAGTTACCTTCCCCTCCAATAAAAACGTTGGGAAAAAAAAGTTTAAAAAACAAATAATAAAATGAAACTTTCAATTTGAGATCATTATAAATTCACATGCTGTTAGAAATAATATAAAGAGAGCTTATGTGCTGTTTACCCAGCTTTATCCAATGGTCACATCTTGCAAAACTATAGTACCAATTACAACAAGTTATTCAGATTGATAGTCAAGATACTGACTATTTCCATCACCACATGGATTCCTCAAGTTGCCCTTTTATAGCCACACTCACTCCCCCTCCTTACTCCACCCCCTCTTTAACCCTTGGTAACTAGTAATCTGTTTTCTTTTTCTACAATTTTATCATTTTAAGAATGTTACATAAATGAAACTATATAATGAGTAACTTTTTGGATTTGGCTGATGACTTTCTTTTAAAAATAAATTCCATACCATAAAACTCACTATTTTAAAGTGTACAATTTGGTGGTCATTAGCATATTCACAGACTTGTGTAACCATTGCCACTGTCTAATTCTAGGTGATTTCATCACCCCTAAAGAAACTCCATATCTGTACCCAAATTCCCTGTCCCTCCTCCTCCACTCCACGCACCCACCAATCTACTTTCTGTTTCTTACAGATTTGCCTATCCTGGACATTTCAGATAAACAGAATCTTACAACAGGAAGTCTTTTGTGCCTAGATTCTTTCACTTAGCATAATATTTGCAAGGTTCACACATCTTGAGGGATATATCAATTCTTCATTCCTTTTAATGAAGAATAATATTCCATCATATGTATAGGCCACATTTTGTTTATCCATCCATCCATCAGTTGATGGACATTTGGCATGTTTCCACCTATTGGCTATTATAAATAATGCTGCTATTTCATTCGTGTGCAAGTTTTTGCACAGACACATTTTTATTTTTCTTGGATTGACAACTAAGAGTGGAATTGCTGAGTTGTGTGGTAACTATGTTTAACCACTTGAGGACCCACAGAGTGTTTTCCACATAGGCTGCACCATTTTACATTCCCACCAGCATCTGATTACTTTTTAATGTTGGCAACTAATTCACATTTTTTAAAAATGCAGTGGAAGTGGGACAGTCCAGCAGATCCATCTGCTGGTCAAGTCTGGCTGTGCCTAGAGTGTTCCGTGTGGAACCAAGCAGTTGAAGAAGCCAGGGCAGAGGACCCGGAGAACAGGGAGAGGGGAGGGGATGGCACAGGTGACCACAGATGTGTATCCCTCAGACACCTGGACACACAGGCTGACACAAGCACTCCTTGACTTGTGGATACACAGACACAAGCACCCAGGCCTGTAGACGCCACTACCTCTCAGAGGACTCTAGGGAGGTGCCTTCATGGCCTCCCTCTGCTCACAGGCTCACCTTTGTGTCTCTAGGTCCAGAGGAAGTGCCCTGGACCATGTGACTGTCCTGCTCTGCCTGGCAGGGCACGTGATGGCTGCCCAGATGAGCAAGGCATCTGCCCACGCCCCCTGGGTCTCCCAGAGCACACCAGCTCCGGTGGGGGGTGAGCCCAGCCCCAAGATCCCTGGTCAGCGCTTCTAGGGGTTCTGTTACAAGGAAGTCAAGGGGTCCCATGAGGCCCTGGCCAGGCAGCAGGATCCATGAGATCCAGGCCTGGGTGCAGGGCCAGCAGCCAAGCAGCCCTGAGGAAGCCGCTGCCCTGGTTGAGGGGCTGCAACAGAAGTCAGGTAGGCCAGGACTCCAGGTGAGGGCTACCCAGCCTGGCTCAAAGCCCTGCCCGGACTGGTGTGGCAGGGGTGCTGGTGGGGAGTGACGGTGAGAGCTTTGTGTCTCAGCTCAGAGTCTGACAGATGCTAACCTGTGTTTGCCCTCAGAGCGTGGGGAGGTGGGGGTGGGCACCCAGAAAGATGGAGGGCACCGCCACCTGCCCCTCTTTTCCTCCATGGAGCTACAGGGCCCAACACTCAGCCTGCCTTGCCTGTCTTCCTGTCCCCAGGTCCCAGCCCCCTGGCCACAGGAGGTGCTGGTCCCTAAGACAGAGCAGAGAGAGGATCAGGAGGCGAGTCCAAACCCTTTCTGGGCCCCTGTTCCAGGTACAGCATCCACCAGCCTGGGGATGTCGGGTGTCCCTGGGGGCTGGGCCCAGAAGTGAGTGGACTGGAACCTCTGGGATCTTTAATGGCTCCAATGTAAGCAGAATGAGCCAGCTGGCTGGGCTTGGGGCTCCACAAAAGGGAGGTCAGGGGCAAGTGGGGAGGGTTCTGCCAGCTGCGAGACAAACTGGATGTGTGGCCTCCCCACCCCCACCCTTGGCTTGTGTCCCGAGGGATCTGGCTGCACAGCTGCCCCATGGCTGCCCCACGTCCTGGGTTCAGGCAGCTGGGTCAGCCTGGCTGGACCCAAGCAGAGGCCCGAAGTGGCCTAACATTGCCTGGCAGCCACTGAGATTCCTCCGTCTCTGGCCAGGCTGCCTGTTGGGTGGCAGGGGCTGCCGAGGGTTCAGGGCTGGGGTAAGGTGACCAAGGAAGATGGACACAGTGGTCACCTCGAGCCTCTTGGAGGAGGGCAGTTCATATCCAATGTTTCCATAAATGGCCAGGTCCACCTGCGTCCTCACAAACAGGTGTCCCCACCAACCTGATGCTTGATGACCCCAAGGTGGAGCTAGGGGATGAGAGCAAGGCCCTGGACCTGCCCTGTGCTGAGATGGAGCCCCAGGCCCTAAGCAAGGCTGGCACAGGTGAGGTGGGCGGCTTCTGAGTCTTTCCACAGTGCTGGCACCCCCACCCCCAGCACCCTTCTGCCCAGTCTGGTGAGGGGCTGTGTGAATGGCACAGGCCAGGCAGACACGAGGTCTCCCAGGGTCCCTCAGTCACAGGCCCAGGCTACCCACACCCAGCAGGGTTAGGGTCTGACTCAGAGTTACCTCAGACACTGCCTCTACCCAGGAAATCTGGCATCTGCGGCCCCACCTGCCACGTCTTCTGTTCTAGGCTGAGGAGAGGACAGGGCTGTCCAAGGCCAGCTCAGAGAAAGGTGGGGGTGATGGCCGGCCATGCCTCTGTCCAGTGGCCCCTGCCTCATAGCAGCGGCAGTCACACCCTTCCTGAGACCACCAGGCCCCTCTGCGCCACTCCCTATGGGTCTTTGGGTTGTCTCAGGCTTTTAGCTTTTTCTCTTTCCAGTTTCAAATCCCAGAGGCGAGGTGGGGACCCCAAGTCAGCACGCCTGACGGGTGGCTCCAGGGGAAGGCGATGCCCCCGAGAGTTTGCTGAAGACTGACACCACAAACCCCTCCGCGGGGGCAGCTTCTGGAGGCCTGGGGGCCTGGGAAGACTCCGCAGAGGCCCTGCGGGAGGCAGAGGACACTTCGCAGCATGCCACGCTGGGGGCGACAGCAGACCGAGGGGCCCTGGGAGGGGAGCTGGAGCCCGCAGACTGCAGGATCGATGGGGCCAGGCCCAGCCGTATCCCCGATGACCTGCTGCCCTTCCCCTTGCCTCTCCCTGGGGAGCGGGGCTGCTGGTGTGGCGAGTGTGGCAAGACCTTCAGCCAGAGCTTCTACCTGCAGCAGCGCCGGCGCGTGCACACGGGAGAGAAGCCCTACACGCGCAGAGTGCGGCAAGGCCTTCGCCTGGAGCTCCAGCCTCAGCCAGCACCGTCGTATCCACACGGGCGAGAGGCCCTATGAGTGCCCGGACTGCGAAGAGGCCTTCAGCCAGAGTTCCAAGCTGACCGAGCACCTGAAGATCCACGCAGGCGCGCGGGTGCACCTTGCCCCGACTGCGGCAAGGTCTTCCTGCGCGCGGCCGGCCTGCAGCAGCACCGGCACACACACAGCGGCCAGAAGCCCTTCGCCTGCACCAGCTGCGGCAAGAGGTTCCTCGAGAGCTCGCAGCTCCTGCAGCACCAGCGCGCACACACAGGCGAGCGGCCCTTCCAGTGCGCCCAGTGCGGCAAGGCCTTCAGGGGCAGCTCGGGGCTGGCTCACCACCGGCGTGCTCACACTAGTGAGCGGCTCCTCGCGTGCGCCGACTGCGGCAAGGACTTCCGCGGCAGCTCCGAGCTGCGCCAGCACCAGCGCCCGCACTCCGGCGAGAAACCCTTCGTCTGCATCTACTGCGGCAAAGCCTTCGTGCACCACTCGGAGCTGGTGAGCCACCGGCGTACGCACACCACGGAGCGGCCTTACGCCTGCAGCCGGTGCGGCCGCGCCTTCAGCCACCGCTCCAACCTCAACAAGCATCAGAAGCGGCACGCGGGCAGCGCTGTGCCCTGAGCGAGAGGGCGGGTCAGTTTGGTGGCCCGCGCAGCTGGAGACCCGGCCACCAATGGATGGGGATGAGCCGTCTGCAGGCCAGCTTGGGTGGGCTTCACGTGCTGGGAGAGTTGGCGCAGCGGCCACGGGTGCAGAAGATCACGGCTGGAAAAACGGTCCCTAAGAAGGCAGCCCCAGTGGTGACCCCCTGGGGCCTGGCTGTGGACACGTGTGGCGGGGAGGTGGCTCACAGGCTGAAGGCGGTGAATTTCGGTCCTGGAAGCTGTGCAGAGACGGGCGAGAATTGCGGGCTCCCCAGGAACGAGGGCTAGATGAGACCCCTCCCCTCCACCTCTGGATTCGAGGTTACACAGGACTTTTTGTCTTCAGCCAAGAGCCAGAAGGTCAGAGGATTTGCTCTGAGGACTCTGGTGGGCAAAGGAGAGGATGTGTGTATGTGGGGGGGGGGTCCCAGCATGCTCAGCTCTCAGCTGCTGCCTGTACCCCCATTCCTTCCTCCACAGTTGGGGCTGAGAGTCCGTTTCTAAAAGATAAATCCCAGCAGCCTGAAACACTTCAGGTTCCTTAGAGACGCGGCATCGCGTCCACACACCTTGGGCTGGCACAGTCCACGCGTCCTGCGCTCGTTGAGAGAGCAGGACTGACTCATTTCCTTCAGGAAAAACAGCCCAGGCAAGACTGCCTGAGGGATTCGATGCTGGCAGGGGGAGGGGCCGAGCCTCGGGGAGCAGGGCTCGCCTTCGCCTCCCCAGGAAGGAGTGGATCTGGGAATTGCCATGCGCTGGGGCTGAGCGGTTTCAGGGCTCTGGGAAGCAGTGGTGGATGGGGGCGAGGGCGGAGCCGACAACCTGCCCCGCTCTCCACCCTGGACAACTTTCTCTGCATCCACTCCCCGCCCCTGGGCTGCTGCCACAGCACTGCCGTCGCTGAGGGCAGCCACCTGCTCTACCCGCTCTGGAAGGTGTGCGGGGGCATCTGTGTCTGGTGGGGGAACCAGCCCCCGCATGCTCACTCTACCCAAGACCACGTCGCTGGCATCGCCCCCTCACCCCTTCTCTCTTCCCAGGTCAGAACTGTTGGGGCCTGCTCCAGGGTCCCCCCTGGAGTCTGTGTGTTTCTCAGTCTTGCTCCCCCACCCCCACATCAGGGACCTTCCTTGCACGGCTGGGTGTGCTGTACTTCCTCCTGCTCCAAGGTCTCCTTGACCAAGATCAGCAGCTCCAGCAGGAGCTTGAGAGAGCAGCAGGGAGAGGGAAGGCATGGAGCTCCAACCCTGCCTTCCTAGCTCAGCAAGTCCCTTCTCATCCTGCCTCCCGAGTGGAGCCCCACACAGGACCAGGATTAGCCTGAGGACTCAGCCCTTAGGTCCCACGTAGCTGCCTGGCAGGGGAGTAGGATGGTAGCAAGGATCACTGAGCACCAGGTGCTACACCTGGCACTTTGCAGGTGCTCCTCCACCCGCACCCCGGCGGCAGAGCTGGGAGGCCTGGGGCTGGCGGCGGGTGACGGGAGATGAGGCTGATGTAGACAGCTCCAGTGACCTGCACACTAGCACATCGCCCCGACCAGGTGGGCTGGAGCATGTGGCCTGTGTGATGGGTGGGACATGGGACAGAAGGGGCTGTCTCGGGCAAGGGGCAGTCAAATAAGTGACCCTCACTAGGTATTTTAAGAGAATTGGCTACTTGGCTTTATTAGACTGAAAGAATACGCAGAATCACGAGAATCCAGAGATTCACAAGAAGAGCAGCTCCACCTCCAGGGCTGGGTGTACAAAAGGGATGGGGCTTACCAGAGCCGAGGATCTTGGACTCTGAGAAGGCCACTGTGGCTGTTGCTGGAACTAGAGAGGAGGGTGCAGGAGAGACACCTTTGCCCTGAAAACCTTGGGTCCTGCATTATGTTGTTTGGGTTCATCAGAGGCTCAACACAGCAGCCTCACTGCCAGGCACATGGGGACTGTTCAGTGGCACCGCTGGGTCCTCTGGGAAGTAGGGCCCAAGTGGAGGGCAGCCTACTTTGCATCAGGACCTGCCACATGGACTCCCCTCGTTCTGCGCCGCCCACACTCACCCCCAACTGCAGCTGGTGAATGGATTGGAGCAGCACACTGAGGCGGATATGCTGTGTCCAGAATCCGGGCCTCTGTGGTTCCTGTAGAAAGTCCACTTCTCTCTCTGGCTGGCGGACAGTGCTGGCTGCAGCAGTTGGTCTTCTCCTTCGAGGGGGTGTCCTGACAGGTTCGCCGTCCCGAGGCCCTCCACCAAGGAGGACACATCGGACTCACTTCATCACTGAGTGTCTCTGCTACCTGGTGCTCTCTGTCTTCCAAGGGGTGGGTGTAATGTTCTGGGGGAGGTCAGGATAGCAACAGGATAAGGAAGTTGAGCTGCCAGTTTTGAGGCGAGTTGGGAAGGTGTACTGTTGTCCCCATCAAGCAAAAATGAGGGGATTCACATGGTCCTTGCTTATTGGTAGAAAAAAGAATTTGATGGATCTGTAGCTGTGAAGGTGAGAAGACTCCTTCAAACCCCCAAGGTCATCCTCAACCTCCCTCCCTAGCTGAAGCAGCCCCTCTTGGGTTAAAAAACTCCTATTACCCCCTCGTTCCTGCTGCCCACGGTGTAAATGCGCAGGTGAGGCTCCCTTCCTTCCCACCTAACACGGGAGTGACAGTCACACCACCTGTTGTCCATGTCCACGAGCAGGACACTGTGAACGCCACAGCAGTGGGTGCCTCAATTTTATTATTTTATTTATTGTTACTTTTAATTATTTTTATTATTTTTGTGGGGGAGGTAATTAGGTTTTTATTTATTTTTATTGGCGGTACTGGGACTAAACTCCGAAACTTGTGCATGCTAGGCACACACTCTACCACTGAGCTATACCCGTCCCCCTATTATTATTTTATCATCAATTATTAATTATTATTTATAAACAATTTAAATATTTATTACTTTAATGTATTTATTTATTATACTGTTCCTAATATGTATTATTTTAGTTTACTATTAGTTTGTCATTCATTGTATTATTTTTAATATTTAGTGTTTTATCATTTCACTATGAAGTAATTTATTATTTTCACTTTAATCATCTTATTTATGGGTAATTTTATTTGTTAACTATGATTCCATTCTATTGCTTAAGTTTATTTGTTATTATTTATTACATTACCTGTTTTAGTATTCATTTTATTTTTTTGAAATTGTACTTATTTTTTTACCTAAATCATTTTATTATTTATTGTCAATTGTCTTCATTTGTTATTGTTTGCTATCATTAGATCATTCAGTTATTTTTATTCTTTATTATTAACTTAGTTTATTCATCATGCAGTTATTGATTACTGTAATGGAGACTCCTGAGGCTGTGGCTCGCCCTTTGTCCTGACCCCCTGGAGGCCCACTTTCCGGGAAGGACAAACAAACAGAGAGGTCAGTGGCCGGCACCGCCCCCCCCAGCCTTATAACCGGACAGACACTCCTGGGGCTGAAGTGAGGCTGACTATGTCCGCACGGGCCGCTTTCCTACTGCTCTGGGGTGAGGCGTCAGGTCTGGGGCCCCCGGGGGTAGGATGGGGGCAGGAAGGAACAGCATGGGGCCTCACAGGTGGGTCTCCGCAGGCCTCGCCCTGGGCAGAGTGACGGAGGAGGCAGTCCTAAGTAAGTGGGCCGGCCCGGGTGTGGTGGACACTGCAGGGTGAGGCCCTGTTTGGGCGCCCAGCTGACCACTGTCCCCACTCGTGCAGTTGACACAAGGGCCAACCTATGGGCAGAGGCCGAGTCCCTCCTGGAACCCGGGGCCATTGTGACACTGACATGCCAGAGTGTCCTGAGGACGCAGGAGTTCCAGCTGTTGAAGGATGGGGTGGCCCAGGAGCCAGTGCACCTGGACTCACCTGCCTTTGAGCACCGGTTCCCACTAGGAGCAGTAATCAATGACACCCAGGGCCTCTACCGCTGCCGCTACAGCACAGACGGCAGGTGGATGGGGCTCAGCAACCTGGTGGAGTTGACTGGAACAGGTGAGTGGAGCGCTAACTGGCCTGGACAGTCAGGGGAGAGGCTGCTGGAGAGGCCTCCTGTCCTCCACTCCTCAGTCTCCTTGTCCTCCTCCTGCCCCACTCCCAGAGCAGCTGGTGGCCTTGGGCAAGTCAGGTGACATCTCTGAGCCTCAGCTGCCCCATCAGTAAAATGAGGATGATGTTTGTACTGACCCTAGAAGGTCGTGAAGAGTAAGTGTCTGAATCCCTAGGAAGTGCTTAGGGCAGGCCTGGGGCACAGTAGGGCCCTGAACATGTCTCCTCTTGTAGTCCCCTGTCTCGGCCTGTCCCTGCCTCCATCTCCTGGCTCCCTCACATTTCTAGGAGTGTGGAGATCCAGGTCTGCCTGGACCCCCACATCTCCCAAGGCATGCAGAACCACCCATGACCTGTGCTCCACTCGCAGAGCCCCTGCCCCCACCCTTGCTCTCAACTGAGACGGTCTCCTGGATCACAATGGGCCTGAACACGACACTGCTGTGCCTTGGGGGGCTTCGGGGTGTAACCTTCCTGCTGAGGCGGGAAGGCGATGACCAGTTTCTGGAGGTGGCTGAGGCCCCAAAGGCTATGCAGGCAACCTTCTCAGTCCACCGGGCTGGCAACTACAGCTGCAGCTACCGGATCCATGCAGCAGGTGCCCTCTCTGAACCCAGTGCCACTGTGACCATAGAGGAGCTGGGTGAGTGTGGGGGCCATCCCAGAGGGCTTCCTGGGGGAGGAGGCTCCTGGAGGACAGAGCTGTGTTTACCCTGACCCCAAACTCCTAATACGCCTGCCCAGGACCGGGTTTGGAAACAGGGGCCACACAGTTGCCTGGCGTTTGCCAGTAGGAAGGGTGTTCCTGGGGCAAAGGTCTGGAGGCTGGGCTGACTGCAGCTTTTTTAAGGAATGGCCCCACAGCAGGGGTGTCTGGGACTCTGGCCCCTCCAGTGACCCTCCCTGACTTGCAGCCAGGCTGCCACCACCCACGCTGACTCTCGAAAGGGAGTCCTCTGAGGTCCTGCGCCCGGGCTCGCCCGCAACCCTCACCTGTGTGGCGCCCCTGAGCGGTGTGGACTTCCAGCTGCGGCGGGGTGAGGAGGTGCTGCAGGTACCCATG